ATCCATTCTTGCGTTCTGCGACTTTTCCTCAATCCTATTCTTCGGTGTGAACTTTCTACATATTGTTCGGGCATTAATGTCTCTCCTCTTCAAGTTGATGTATTGTCCTCCAGCGGTTTTAAAACCGAACAATTGAAAGTTGTTTTTTCAAAGCTTTCCTTATCACTAATGTAAGCCCAAAAATGAACATCGAGGAAGTAGCTCCAAGAAAGGAGTACATAGCAGGAAGTTGGACTTCTGAATCAACTCGCGCAAAAAACGTTTCAGTTATGATAGTTTTCGCTTTTATAAAGTTGTTGACTACCGCTATTTTTACCGAAAAATTGGTCGAATTCGAATTTTCAAGACGAGAGATTCGTCATGCACGCACGTAGCGAAATCTCTCGCATTTCTTTGGAGGGGCCAGTGGATTTCCGGGGGACGAGTCCCCCTATTTTCGCCCGAGTAGCTCATAATCTATGTTGCTATTTTATGCCCTCGATAGTTTCTGAAGAGAGAACCTTCGAAACAGAAATGGAAAATAACGGAGTAAGGGCGTAACGGACAATGAGTACCCGACGATGTGGGCGGTGGCACTATTTCGAACTGTGTGGGTTTTTCTCGCGGAAGGAATCATCGCGAGAGTTTCCCTCGAACTCGGAGTTGATTTTAGAGAAAGCCCGTGTTCTGCCGTGCTAAGGAAGAACGCCGTATGAACATTCGAGAGTTGCCAAATTTCCCTGGATAAAACATGTATTTTTGACGACATTTGTGCACATTTTTCTTTGAAATTTTCAGATAACTTGGATTAAATTGCGTACAAAATCGTCTGAAAATTTTGGAAAGAAATATTCACAATTTCCGCAGTAATATAAGTTTTTATCGAAGGAAACTTGGCAACCTCTGAAGGCTCATACGGCGTTCTTCCTTAGCATGGCAGTGTTGGCCACTCATCGTATTACTTACTCGCAAAGAACTTCCAGAGTTTGTTACACCTTGAAATGAGGGGCTTGGAAGACAAGGTGCATGAGTGCAGTTTTTGAAAAAATTGAATTCTGGTTAGTGAATTCCTTAAGTGAATCCGAATCCTTATTCCGATTCGCGAATCCTTAAGTGAATTCCGGTTCACTTAAGCGGCCCAGAAATCTTTGAATTTTACGGCATGTGTTCTTTTTCTTTCTTTTCTAACGCTCGGCCCTCACATTTTTCTCTGTTTAGATCTCCGAAATGCTGAGAGTAGCTTCGTCTTTCATTCGTCTTTTTACGCAGGTAGCGAAAGATGATAGCACAGGAAGAGACGTTCACATTTTAGAGCATTTTTTAATTTCTTAAATTTTCTTCACCAACCATTAAAAGTCCTTGAAAACTGGGGTATCTCCAATGGAAAGTTGTAGATAGGCCCTTGGAGGAGGTCGTTGGATTTTGACTTGGAAAAGAAATGATGAACCTCGTGCCTACGTGCATATTATTTCACCGAAAATCTTCGCTGAGTGGCGAATTTCAATTTAGTGCAATTCTTATTCTTTTAGGGTTCTTTTTTTTCCCTCCCTAAAGTGAGGAAATTTTGAACCTTTTACCTGACTTACAACCCTGTCTAATTAATTGTTGAACTTGAAACGTGTTACAGATCTATGGAGGTATGCGAGGAATCAAGGGTCTGGTATGCGAGACCTCCGTCCTAGACGCCGATGAGGGAATCCGGTTCCGCGGTTACTCCATCCCGGAGTGCCAGAAAATCCTGCCCAAAGCTGCCGGAGGCGCTGAGCCCTTGCCCGAAGGTCTTTTCTGGCTCCTCGTCACCGGTGAAGTCCCCACCGATGCTCAGGTGAGATCCCCACACGATGAGGCTAATTTTCGCCATGGAATGAACTGATGAAGCGTATTGGTTCAAAAGAATGCATTTAGGGTTGCCGCAGTCAGGAGAAACCAGGAAAAGTCAGAGAATTTAACAAGTCGGAAAACCTGGAATTGTCAGGGAAAAATTGTCGAGTCACCTTTATTTGCCCTCCAGACTAGGTTTGACGTGTTAAACAATAGATTTCGAGTGGAAACGATTTGAAATCATGTCTCTGTAGCCACGTAGCAGATCTTCAATTGTCAGGGAATTTACTAAAATGTGTCAGGAAATCAGGGAAATGTCAGGGCATTTCATTCTCGAAATTCTGTGGCAAACCTGTACATAGTCACTTTTTCTAACTTTTAGGCCTTGTCTCCACGAACGTTTCATGGGATTTGTCCCAAGTTCGAATCGCAGGAATTAAACTTCTGGACTTTTTCCTCGTCCAAAAAAAAACAACAACATTTCTTCTTCCTCTCTCTGAGTCGCTCTAAGGAATTCACACGGACTCTGCTTGATAATGAGACAAGTACTGATTAACTCAATATTTTTCCCTACTTCATGAGATTTTTCCGCGGGACAAATCCCGTGAAACGTCCCGCAGAGACAAGGCCTCTGAGAACCGAAAAAACTGTAATTTTTTCCGGCATGATAAATTTGTTTTCCCTGAAGTTTAAATTATAGCCTAGGAACAGTTTGATTGGACCAGCAAGTATCAAAAGTCAATATCACTGCGCGGATAACGAAACGCCTTCAAAGTCGTCTGAAGCAACCGGAGTCACTTCTGAATCGTTCGAGTATTAGCAGAGGTGGAATTGGCGAGATGTGGGCACTTGACATGACTGCTCTGAGTTTTTTGGGGGGCCAGCTCAACGCATAGAGGTTTTTGTGAGCGTGGAGTTGATATTTTTCAAAATTAGTGGCAGTCCCCTTCGCGATTCTCACAAAATCGTCCACATTCTCATCAGGGTTAAATGCAAATCCTGCTAGCTAGCTATTGAAACTACCTTCGTTAGTTGGATACGATGGATCTCAGGTAAAATCTAGACGTTATGTAAGACATTTCGCATAAGCGGCCTGCGGGAACTCTTCTCATAATTTAGTCTATCCGCGTGAAGTACTTGGAAGTTGGGATTTTCAGCTCACCCTCTCGATTTCATCGAACAGAGCCGAGAGGGAAAACGCCTTTCGAAGATTCGGACGGTGCCAAGTTTCCAGTGACAAAATACACTTTTTCGTGTAGTTTCCTCTGCATTGACGCTAGGAAAGCACCGCTCTCATGAAGACATTTGAGAGGGAATCAATTACCCTTTTTCCCCCCGTAAATTTAAAATCAATCAAGAATAAATTCCGTGAAATTATCCTTCCTTGGTCGCACGGAGGGTGTTTTCTAGCCTACCTCGCGAATTGAAGGAGAAGTAAACCCCACCACCTAACACTGATAAAATCTAATTTATGAAGCTCCACTGAGAATTTTCAGAGAAAATGTTGACAACTTTCTTGGAAAATACCAGCGATTCGGACCCCGAACCCTTTTTTTGGGCTGAACCTTGACCCTATTTGACTTGTGTCGAGAACCTGAACCCGGACCGAGGTCCTGAAGGGTTTTCTTTCCAAATTTCCTCCAATAAGTTATGTACACGGAGAAAAAAACCTCGTGCGTGGGACCCGAAGTTTAGGTCGTATGGATCTCTGAAGTTTTCAGATTGAGCATCTGAACACTTAAGGTCTAGCAGTCGAGGTTCGGATCACACATCTGAAACTTCAGTTCTTACATCTGAAGTACTTCAGATGTGAGAACCGAAGTTTTTCGGATATGAGAACCGAAGTTTTTCGGATATGAGAACCGAAGATTTTCGGATATGAGAACCAAAGTTTTTCGGATATGAGAATCGAAGTTTTTCGGATGTGAAAACCGAAGTACTTCAGATGTAAGAACTGAAGTTTCAGATGTGTGATCCAAACCTCAGCAGCTGGACCTTAAGTGTTCGGATGCTCTATCCGAAAACTTCAGAGATCCATATGACCTAAACTTCGGGTCCCACGCACGAAGTTTTTTTTCCGTGTAGGTATTTTCAAAATACTTAACTTATCGGAGGAAATCTGACAGCATTTAAATGCTCATACGACGTTTTGCGTCGCTTGACTGTAACGGAATCCGAACAAGGCAACGGAAGCCGTTCACTGGGGTAGTGTAGTCGGTCAGTACCTAGCTGTCGTGTCGGCAGACGTAACGACCCAGCTGTTTGGTTTGGCTGTCTCACTGTGCCCCACAATGTACCCTCTACAATGTAGAGAATAATCTGCTGGCGGCCGATGGTGCGCCCGGCGCCGCGCCGTGCCGGAATCTCCGGCGCCCGCCGCCGTTGTTGGCCCCGGTGAAAAGTCGCCGAGACTGACCTTGGCAAGGTCACTCGCAGCTTTACCGCCAGCCTCCTCGACGACTGCCAACGCCGACTACTCCTCAATCAAAGCCTCACAAGCGCGTGTTACTCCAGAGAGTAGTTTCGCCCAAATTTTCGAAATGGAATTTTCTTTAAGTTTCGACCTCTCCCCACTCATATGCCGCAATCATTCACTGAATGTGGCTTGAATGCGGAAGTCATCGGCCCGATGCCTGAATTTTGCGCGTGACGCGCAAAATTCAGCAACGATCCTCAGCAACCATCGGACCAATTTTGAATTTGTTTGAACTATTCGAGTAGATTTAATACACATCTGGATGAAAATAACTCGAATTTGCTAAATTTCAGCCGTTGGGCGATGACTGTTGACTTCCACATTCAGCTGCTAAATTCAGCGTGTGATTGCGGCAATAGATGGAAGCCGTGGCGTTGCGTTCCTTGCGATATATCGATTGATCTGCCGTTTAAATCTATGGAATAGAATCGATAAACAGGGTTTTCGCAACGACCACCTTAATCGATTCTTCACCGCAGCCTCAAATGGGGAAATATCGATAATCGATCATTCACGCCTCGCCTCCGGAAGGAAAATGTTACTCGTTGTTCAGGCGGAAATATTCTCGGGGGAAACACTTTGAGTAACAAAAAAAAAATACCCGACCTCCAGTTTCAATGTTAAGGAGTAGCCTCGCAGCTCCTCTCCCTCTCATGAGCACCCCTGCCAGGTTCTACAACCTCCAGGCAGTATAAACTCAAAATTTGAACGTCTTTGGAGAAAAGAACCTTGGTAGACTTTAACTCAAAATTAAGAGTTTGATACCAGAGTGTAGAGAAGAGTTTATCAACATATTTGGCTGTATATTCCCTTGAAAATGTCCAATTAATACTCAAGTGATTACAGGTATTAACAGTTTTCTTGAACCTCTCTGTGAATTTCCTTCAGTCTCTCAAAGATTCGCACAGAAAATGTCAAGATATATTTTGGAATTTATTTTAAAAGAAAATAAAACGTTATCGGATAGTTTGAATTATTTCTATAGAAATCCAGGTTTCTCGACTTTAGCCATGGATGTAGAGTTCTCTATCTACCGTTACCCCTACAACAATGGAAACTCTCCCTTCTAGGGATTCAAAGTTTGCTGCAGGTAGCATCCCTTCATTTCACATACTTTTTGTCTGTCGAACTTTTCAGTGGACAGCCACCAAGTCCTCGATGCATTAGCTTGTCGATCTTTGTGCTGTCTGTTTCACAAGAACCAACGAAAAGATTTCAAGAATTGGATCCCAGAAAACAGAAGTTTTCACCTATCGTCCAGAGGCTTATAGAAAGACCCTTGCCTGTCTCTTGGGTACAGTGGAGGAACAATATCTCAACCCCCTTCCCTTCCATCTGTGCCCCTAGGAGGATTGCATTGATACTCTGTTGTTTTGCTAGAATTTCACCAACAAAGGAAACCTAGGAAGTGAAGATCGACATTCTGCTCTGTTGTTTTGCTAGAATTTCACCAACAAAGGAAACCTAGGAAGTGAAGATCGACATTCTGAATCCTTCAGATTTAAATTCATGACATATTTATTTTTACCAAGTTGTCCCAGGAAAACAAAATCGCTAAAAAATCACTTCATTAAATTTTGGCTGTAATATTCTTACGAATAAATGTTTGATTTTCTTATGATCTACAGGTTGCAGCTCTGTCCAAGGAATGGGCAAAACGAGCTGAATTACCAGCACATGTTGCATCATTGTTAAACAACTTCCCATCAACACTGCACCCCATGTCACAGTTCAGTTGCGCTGTGACGGCTCTCAACACAGAATCTAAATTCTTGAAGGCTTACACAGCAGGCGTCCACAAAGCAAAATACTGGGAGGTAAGCTCTTTTCACGACTCTTAATCTATGCATGAGACCTTTAAGACTACAATTAATCTAGACTTATATATCAACCTAAAACGTTTCAACCAAGTATTTTCATGATCGCTATGAAATCATATGCAAGGTAATCTGACTATTTTATCAATATATTTATAACAAGATATTAATTTAGAGAGGGAATAAGCAACAAAATTTAAATTAAAATAAATTTTGGAGTTGAAAAGATGGATCAATCATCATAATCACTCAGTTTTGCCAAAGCATCGTCTTGTAAAAGTATTTCACTTATTACTCTTCTTAATTAGTATTTATTTTCACTGTTCCTTTGCTGCTCGGCTCTTATCAATTCTTTCTGTTTTTCAGTATGTCTATGAGGACAGCTTGGACTTGATTGCAAAGATCCCTGTTGTGGCTGCCACAATTTACAACAATCAGTTCCGCAACAGCAAATCTCTTGCCCCCATTGACCCCAACTCAGACTGGAGTGCCAACTTTTCCAAAATGTTAGGTTTCACTGATCCTCAATTCATTGAATTGATGAGGCTCTATCTAACTATCCACAGGTAAATGCCTACTGTATTACACTTTTTTTGTTTTATTTTTAGTGTATTTTCCGAAGAAAATACACTATTTTTATAATATTTTCTGCCCTATCCAGTTACTGTTGACTGTGCCTCTTCAAGAGCTTGTGCAAAGTACTCAGCACATAAGAAGAAGCTATTTGGATTCTCAGGGGCAAAAATTGCCCATATAGTTTGTCCCTTGAGTAAATGATAAAACTACCAACCAAAAAAACCTCCTTTCTCCCAAAATATTGAGACTAAAATTTAGAAATTGTATAAATATTTTGGTCAAAACCATAAAGAACTGTCACACTCATACAACTGATAATGAATAGAGATAGGTAAAGGAAATATTGTCTTCAGAATTAACATTTATGCAACTGATACAAATACACACCTAGAGCTCATTTTCTTGTGTGCAGAAAGAGAATTAGTTTTTGAAAAGATATCTCTCCTTGTAATTGGGAAGGAACATGTTTGATTCTATCATCAAGAATGAAAGGACTCTGTTTCTGATACAATGTTATCTTCAGAGGGTTGATATTCATTATTTTTCAAGTATGAATCAAGCTTTTTCGAAAGGGGACAAGTCCATTTTCAGACGAGCTTAAGTTAAAGAGGACTAGCTCTGTTTGGAACTGCTGCTCTTAAAACAATAAATTTTTCTCTCCTGTCAGGCAGTCTATAAGTTGTCTTACCAGTTACTTTTCTTAAATACAGTCAATTCTCTTCCATATGCATTTCATTTTTCATTTTACAGTGATCACGAAGGAGGCAACGTTTCTGCTCACACTGTGCACTTGGTAGGCTCAGCCTTGTCTGATCCCTACTTGTCATTTGCCGCTGGATTGAACGGTCTTGCAGGTCCTCTGCACGGTCTAGCCAATCAAGAGGTAAACTAACATTTGTTTTTTAATCATATGCTGCTTTCTGATAGTTCTACCTCGACATTTATTTTGCCCTGAAAGTCTAAATCTTGAAAAGGATTTATTGATTTTTGGAATAGTGCCTTGCTCCCAGCTTATTTGACCATGCATTTTATATGTTACACAGAAAAAGATGGAGAAGTTGGAGAAAAATTTTCAAGGGGTGATCCCTAATGTATGCAAGAAATGTGAAGTCTTGTGACTGGCTCCTCCTCCAACATTCCAAACCGCTGGGTGGGATTTCTCTAGCGCTCCCCCCCCCCCCCCCCCGCCCCCAAATAAAAAAAATTACTCAACTTTAACTTTACTGGTAATTTTTGGAAACGGATTTGGGTTGCTATCAAATAAGACAAGATTATAGTTTAGACAAGTTTAGATAAAATATTATAAAATCTTTATTAATCATCCTTTCTCTCACAAAGGAATGTATCTTGTGTGCGCTATTTAAGAATTTCTACGAACATTATCTTTTCATGGAAGAACCGTTGTTAAATGTAGTCTGAAAATTTCAGAGTCTATGCTCATACAGTTGAAAAAAATTATCAGAATATTCAGGAAAGTGCAATGGTTTTCCTATGAAGAAATAAAATGGCAGAAAGGAACACTGAAACGGCGCAATTGAGATTCGTTGCCTCATGCGAGATAGAACGTAATGTAGAAAAGTAAAAGAGATTATTAAAATCAGTCCAAGTTGTTGATTGTATGAATAGCAAGAAAATAATTCGGATGACTTAGTTTTAAGAACAGTTCGGATTTATTTTTACAATGTATGCATTCTTCTAAGAAATTTGGTTTTTGAATGCAGTTATGGGAGAGATCTTTCTCTTAGTATGTCACTAAAAACTAATAATTTGAATTTCCGTGCAATAGGTGTTGAATTGGTTGAATAAGTTAGCATCTGAAATCGGTGTTGATGCGTCTGAGGATCAAATTAAAGAATACGTTTGGAAGACATTGAAATCTGGTCAAGTTGTTCCCGGTTACGGACATGCTGTGCTGAGGAAGACAGATCCTCGTTACACTTGTCAGAGGGAGTTCGCCCTTAAACACTTACCTAACGACCCATTATTTAAGGTAGGTAGATTTAACTCATAACTTTCAATTGTACTTAATATTCAAATTGTTGTTGTTGACTTTATAATAGTTTTTTGAGGTGCATCCGTAGTTCTCACTCTTAGTATGGCCATGAAATGGATTTATTGTTTGTTAGTGAGTTTACCTTTAACTGCATTTTATGCCTCATAAGAGCCCTCTCAAAATCCATTACGATAATACAAAATGAACTTTAAAATCCTGGCTTGGAGACAAAGTTGGAGCTTTACCAATGGTGTTTCTTAATGGATTTGTCCACGAATAGAAAAGTTTTACTATTTTGCAGTTTAAGACAATCAAAGTGAGAAATAATTACTAACATACCGATATAAAATACATTCAGATTACCGAGCACCAAATGTATTAACCACACTTTATAATTCTGTTCAGTTATGAGTGGGCAGCTAGTAATATAAGATTGAGTTTGGACTGTGTCCTTGCCCAATAGCTCCATGACAAGGTTATTTTACTCCAGCATTTGGAATGGGTCGGTTGCACACAAGGAATGCAGCCAACTGGAAATTGCTCAAAAATCTTGTTGACTACATCAAAAAAGTCTTAAGGGCATTCCTTATTGCACGATATGCGCAGTCAGTGTTAGATTAGGTTTTCTTATGCCTCTCTCTGGGCAAACTTGATTACTGGCTATTTAAGAAAACTGACTGCAAATACATCAAATTCGCAAGATTCGAACTACATAAATTGTGCGGCAAAGAGAGGGTTGCAGTTTTTGCTAGGACTGTCAATTTTTTGTTTTTTCAATTGAATCCATCTTAACGTTCTTTTGTTTACTGTTTACAGTTAGTTTCCAATGTCTTCAAAGTTGTTCCCAACATTTTGCTTGAAACTGGCAAAGTCAAGAACCCATGGCCCAACGTAGATGCTCACTCAGGTGTCCTTTTACAGGTAAGTTTCATGCTCTTATTTGATTCTTATTATTTCTTTTGTATTTTTGTGTTTTCAAGAGCAGCACAACAAAGGTAAGTAATATTTGGTTTGAGAATTGTAGAAAGAAAAAATTAAGAAAATTCAATCCGATCAAAATAGTACATTTGAAACCTCGTGAATGATGTATGAAGAAACTCACTAATTCCGACATGTGATGTTGGTTACAACTGGAATTTTTCAGGGGAAAAAATGTGCACCCTCGAATAATCCTCTAAATGATGAAGAAGAACACTAACAGTTGGAACCAAGATATTATCGGAAATAAGATATCATGATCCAAGTTGCCATCTAAAAATAGAAAAACCAGAGGGTAATACCATGCTAAGTAGTATCATCTTAACAAATTGACTATCTTCAAATTTGATGTTTGATCTGTTTGGTGTACGTGCATCGTTGAGTGAAAATCCAAAATTTCAATTTTTTGTTCATAATCAGGCACTAAAATTTTGCAAGAGAACTCATTGACCATTGACTTGATTTGTAACTCCTTTAATCCTTTATTAATCAATGATTTTTTTTCTTGTGTTTATTAGTATTACAACTTGAAAGAAACCAACTATTACACGGTGCTTTTCGGAGTGTCTCGTGCATTGGGAGTTTTAGCATCTCTTATTTGGAGCCGAGCTCTAGGACTGCCATTAGAACGCCCAAAATCCATGTCTACTGATGGACTCATGAAGGCTGTCGGCTACACCAAGTAATTTGTGTAATCAACATGCAACTCCATCCTATACAAGCCGGGATACCCCCTCCTAAACAAACCTGTACATTTCTTCACTCTAGTGAGCTGTCCATTAATAGTTGTGTGAGTAATTAGTTTTCTTCCATCAATGACAATTTTTGCCTATCGTTTGACAGGCTCTAGGATCCCTAGTTTCGACTGTGAATTTCTATTAAAAAGGTAACTGTTAAGTGTGTCTCGTTCTTTTAATAGCGTTCTTTTACCTATTTATTTATTTTATTGTATAAGAAGTAATCCTAGGATTTCATTTGGCAATGAGTATTTATTTCTGTGCTTTGTTCTGAAGTCCGTGTTTTGTTGTCAGGACATTAATTGTACCAGTTAAAGTATTGAAAATACTTTGCTTTCCCTGTATTTTTATGGTTTCATTTTACCAGCTCCTGAGTAAAAATTTAATTCTTTCCGTCGTCGATTTCAACTAAAGAATCTCTCACGAAGCATTACAGAACTCAAATAAAACAACAATCCCCCATTTTTTTTTTTTTTGAAATCTAGCATTGAGTAAATTTTTGTCTGCTAGCTCTTCATTCAATCATTGACAATAAGTATTTCGGAATTTTTTTTTCAATTTCAATGCAAATAGATGAATACTGGAATTGTTTCTTTATGAAAGTATGTCCTATAGTCTTTGTATTTTGTTGAGTCAAAACTTATTTTAAAGTAAAAATGAAAGTAGCTGTATTTCCTAATCTAAGACGTATGTATCAGTACGGTTTTTACTCATGGAATTATCTTTATTTTTCAATTGTGATTACCTAATTACTCCTCACTTATTCACATTGATTATTCAGTACCTCGTTGAACCTTTTTTTTCCCTCCATTGCTGGATACAACTGTTGAATCCAGTGGTGACTGAAACTATACTGGTGACATGTTTATAAAAGTAAATTAGAAAATGTGTACCTGTTATTTTATAGAAGCTCTAATGTATTAAGACTTGATTTCAATACACCTTTTCGTCTGAAACTAGCTTATCTTTCATCATTTTTTTCCGAACATATTCATTTAAGTATTTAACAGTAGGTGTGAAGTACATATGTACATTTTTATATTTTTGCCTTGAGTTGCAAAATTTGATTTTTGTACATGTAAAGTTTGTTTCCTAATCTTTGTGGTCGATATCAGAACTGTACTATTAGAGTGCAAGTTAAAAATGTTGACCATATGCATCTTAGCATTCAATAGATCAAGCACAAATTCCCGGCTAGATTGTCAAGACATCCAACCACTAGATTTTCACTTCCTTATTTATTCTGTCATCTCATAACGATGCAACTAGAACCAGGAAGCTCACTTATCTGTAAATTACATATAAAACAGTGTCATTTTGTAAAGAAAATAAACAACAAATTCTCCAATAACAATTAAAGGACAATGTTTTATAACCACACCATATCTTTCATCTTATCTCTTGCTCAATGAAGTTCTGCAATAAACGTGTTTTGGTTTTTTCATAAGAGGGTGGCTCCTGGTGAAATGGATGACATTTTGCATCAAGGAACCACTATTTGTGGCTCATTGGAGAAACGATATATCAATGGCGCAAATCGAAAAATGCGCCTCTAAAATTGTAATGTTGCAAATCTCCACTTATGCCCTATTTCTGTGAAAAGGAACTAACCAATAGTTTCTTTTAAAATTTTCTGGGAAATTCCTCCCCTCATTCTATAAAAACCCCAATTGCAAGGAAAGTGTTTGATCGGTTCTCCTGGGAGGAAATGAAATGTTATCAGAGATTTTTAAATGTTTGATCGGAGATTTGCATTCAGCCATTGAATGTTCTATTATCCATCTTATACAGTCAGGCATGTGATCTTATGGCAGAACCAGAAACAGTGGTTTCTTCTTGCAAAATGTAATCCTAACAGACGCTCTGAGTGTCTCGTAACAGAAAGGTAAAATATGGATTCATTCTCATTGTTTGCACGGAAATGAGATCTGTCTTTGTTTTGATCAAGTTCAATGCAATGGATAATCCCGATGGTGATGCCACCAAGTGTCCAATAGCGTCTTAAAAGTTAGTTAGTAGTAGCAGCTGGGTATCTTTTCACTGGTTAGACAATAAGCGGCCTTAAGAATGGGCTACCTAATACAGTTCAACTCAATTTTGATTTGTCGCAGTCGCAAGAGTGAACGTTTATTGACAAAGCAGGGATTATGGAATATCTTCTCCATAATAATAAATCTTTTAGATCAGATTCAGTTCGCAAGATGCCACAGGTTCTATTAGTGCAAATACAATAATTTACTGTTTCCTGGACATAAAAGCGTATCAGAATTTCAGTTATCAATTTGCATTTTTATCGGGAAAACTTTCGGGAATTTTCACTGAAAATTTCACTAACTCATCCCGTAAATGTATAGGAAAATCGGTATAAGATTTTGACAAGGAATCATCATCACCTGTGGCTTGATGAATTTAAATGACTGAGGTAACAGTAACACATCTTTAAGACTTCAAAATATCGACGTTTATCTAACATGAACCCTGTGGTGTTAGTTGATTTCCCTTCAATTCTTTTGAAGATTAGATAATACAGAAAACTAATTACCTATTTTTTCCAGTGACTATAGAAGTTATCATAACATGATGGAAATGGACATAAGGCTTCTGAGGGTGAAAAAAAACAGATTGAGATTGATATTGATGGCCAATGTGTGAAACCACACATCTCTCTTTATGACGTTGTAGACTTCCTGTCACACTTTCCGGAACTTTCCACTTTTTGGAAAAGCAGTCAACGTAATCTCTTGAAAACTTCCAATATTTTTCTGCTCTATTAGCAGAATATTATGTTGACATTTGAAACCGTAAAGTTAGCTTGTCCTTGTTTCTTTTCTATAAAATTAAGTAGGAGTGGAAATTTTGAAACGCCGCCATGAAGACACGTGGTTTTGTACTGCAGGTAGTCATCACTTTAAGAGTTCCTTGTAATTTGTCAATTTTGAAGCATGATTCAAACAAATCACAACTTCGAGACCCAAGTTACTTTCTCTCATTAACTTAGTAGATCTACAAATATCCGCCCGTCAAAACCCTGGTTTGTTTCAGCATTTTTGGGTGTTAATGATGCCCTTAAGAGTTTTAAAACATGCCTCAATGCAACGTTATTCAGGGTGTCCCAAAAGTCCGTACCCTCCCTTGTAACTTTTGAACGGTTTGAGATAGAAGAACAAAACTTTGGGAATGTTTCTATCTTGATGGGAACCATCTTCTCGGGGAGTCAAAATTTTTGTTCCTCCCTTAGGGGGGGCGGGGGGACTCCCAACTTTTTTTTTCAAATAGCAATTCCCATCTTGTGATACATTATAGGAAAGAACATAAAAAAGTGAGAATTTTGGCGCAAACCGCAGATCAATATCTTAATTGTTGACAGAGTTATGACAGGTCAAATTTGACCTATTTTCAAAAAATCATAACTCCAGTTCAATTATCGTAAAGAAAAATCAAAACGGGAAAATTTACCAAATTGTAAGCACTTTTAAGTAAAAATCACAGAAATGACTTCAAACTAATTTTAAGGGGGGTTTCGGACCCCCAAATACGTCAGTTTGAAGATCATACGATTTTCCCACGATTTGAGCCAATTTCCCCTTACTTTGGCTCAACATTATCTTGGTAAGTTCAAAATTAGTTCAACATTGCGTTTTCAAGTCCCCAAATTTCGAGCAAAGTTCAAAAAACGAAGGTGATTCAATTCAACCTTTTAAATTTTGCCGTAAAAATTAAATAAATGAACGCAAATTAAAGCACACAACAATGAATGAAATTTGAAATAGTTGTAATACAAGAAGAGGTAAGATATTTATTGAAGAGAGAAGAAAAAGAAATATGTAACAAAGGAAGAGATTTGCTTATTCTAAAACAGGCTCTGAAAACTCTAAACAATTAAATAACGAATTACGGACAAATACGGAATGGGCGCTTGTGTCCGTGGCCGTGTTCATCTCCATCATCTGATAAAAATAATTTTTCATACAACCGTTCACAAGTAATCGTGATAACAGTTGCTCCTATTCCCCAGGGCCATAATCCTGTAGCTATACGCTTTAAAAAATTTACATAAAAGTTCGTTGATGGCGGTTTTCCCCAAAAGCGATAATCAGTGTCGATGTACCTCCACACATGGTTCCTGAAAAATATGAATGAAAATGAATCAATCAGAACAATGCTATAAAAGAAGAGGTGTACTTGTTCTTAAAAATAGTAGTTTTTCATTGACTTTGATACGGGGGTTCAATATAAACTTGGGTCTTATATTGGCTTAATTAGTAGTCTTACATGTAACTTTTAATTCTAATCAGTAAGAATCATTTCTTGTGCTCCAGTAGCATGGATGATATCATTATGAAGAGTTTCAGGCTAACAAGAAGTTTACATGAAGTGCAAGCCATGTCAGTGGACACAATGAATGACAGTATCTGATACAAGCGAAGCCCCAATTTCTTTGAACTAGGCTCCCTGAGATTGACTCTCGCTGTGTCCCACTCAGTCTTATATATAATCCCTTGATGACCCGTCGACTTACTTAGTGCATAAGACAAATTGGCGGAGAAATATTTTTGGGGCTTATAGAATTGATCTTAACCCTTCCATTACAGAGCTAGATTCTGCATGCACATGCTCCACGACAGGAATGGGTCGTCACGAAAAAATTAGAAACTCCTTAACTGTGTTTCTCTGTTGGTGATGTGGCAGACTTCTATCATACTTTATCTTCTAAGTAGAAAACTTCACAATGGCAATTCATTTAAACTGCCGTTACTTTTCTTCTTAAAAAGAAACTAGTTCTGTGGAAACTTCAATGAACAGCGTTAATTTTTTCTCCTTTAGAAAAATAAGATTGGGGTGGAGTTAAAACATCATAAACACAAAACGCGGTTTGGGAGTTTCACCATCAATACCTATGCTATGATTTAAGATACTTTTGGTTCAAATCTGCCATGACTATTATTTTGAAGGAAAAGGGGGATGGGCCTGTCCTTCCAAGGCTCTTTACAACCAAACGTGACCCTCATTTCATGTTGGGAACTCCGAATGAAAGCTCTACAGAAAGATAGCTCAAAATTGGGCACAGATGCTTCCTCACCATTGCTACAGACCCTATGAAATCTTAGCGATATCACTGGATAAACTTAAAGGCCTTGTACCTGAATTGCAAATGTTCAACATTTTCCCTAGATTATTTTCTCTAAAGGGCAATCAGACACCACATTCTTCCAAATTTTGGTGAAATATATTCCAAAGCGAAAGAAAAATTCACAAAATTATTTAAGAAATTACACGGTGTAGCTTCCTGATTAAAAATTGAGTGGGATGGAAGGCCTGCAACGTTGCAAACCAAAAAAAGCTGCTCCCGAGTTTAGCCATTGGTGTAATGACTAAATGGTAACTTAAAAAATCAGGACTCAAGGTGATTCACCCCGGTTTCTAGAGTGGTCGAATTGGCATGCGATATTATGCATCAATTGAGTAACGAATCTTGGCAGATTTTGAATATTTAGCCAAAATAACAATGATAGCCCCTACGCGTGAGCCCAAAGGATCATTCTCGAACAAAGATTGGCAAAATTCAGAGAAATGATTTAGCACGATCCTTTTTGGAAAAAACTTCACATTCAATACAGTAGGTAATCAACTTCTTTATTGAATGTGAGGTTCTTATCCCAAAAGAATCCTGCTAAATCATTTCTCTGAATTTTGCCAACTTATTGTTTAGGCTCATGCGTAGGAGCTATCCTTCTTATTTTGGCAAGATATTCAAAATCTACCACGATTTTTTACTCAATTGATGCGATATACCGCATGCCAGTTCGATCATGCCAAGAACTGGGACGAATCACCTTGATAAAAAATATTAGCCATTTACCTAGCCCATGGATCTTTTAATCCCTTTTGAGCGAGCGTTCTCTGCATTCTCATTAGATCAGGAACATCTTCTACTTTGTAAATGCGCCAATCGGGTACTTTTGTCAATGGGGTTTCTCCAACAACTGCATGATGATGACCATCTCCATGACCATGACCACCACCCATCTTTTAGCTGAAGGTAAAAATAGATATTTTTTATTTGCCATCATCTCAAGGTAACTAAATGACTAAAAACTTGGTAAAAATGTATATATGGAACTACTATGAGCTAGGTTCCTGATTTTTCTTTTAATCTCATCATATAATTACACATTTTGAAAGTATGATTATGCTGGCACAACTGTCTCCATAGTCAGGAATCCAAAATAGGCAAGTTTGCACGTAAGCAGAATGGTAAAAGAGTTCCTGTGTAAAATACGCCGATTGCTGTTTTCCACCTCCAATCTTCAACCGTTAAAACTAAGCTAAATTAGGTGAATATACGATCCTTGCCTTCAATTTCAATGTTCAACGATCAAAATGGAAAAATGAGGTAGAAATTGGCAGTGGGCGTCTTAGTTACACACAAGACCTGGTCTGAGTACCTTACCAGAACACCAATACATCAAGTCAACAGCCTCGACACAACCTGGCTATGGAGAATGGAGACTGAATCATCAACAGAATGATGAAACTTCTGCTATCTTCATAGACTGAGCTAATACGCAATTGATTCACTATGTCCTTTATCATGAAAATCATGTTTTCCAAATAATAGCATCAAACTGCAGATACAGCGTTAGACTGAGATATTCAGACCAAAGGTAGCTCTCAACCAATATCAGAATGATGATACTTATGCTACCTTCAAAGATTTACTAAATTGGTAATTAACCAACTATGTCACAATATAGGATAATACTGATTGCCAAGAAACAGCATCAAACTTTAACTGATACATAACGCCACAAAAGAATTTCCTCTTGTGTCTAGTTAGAGTCCGCCAACCATTTATGACTTTGACAGGCATTACACTCTCAGTCATTAATCAGAAAAATGAGAAATGTTCAGCGTAAAACTCTCAAGCTGACTTAAAACTAAGGAGAAGTGACAATAATCAATAGTGAAATGTACTGCGAAATGAGCCTACGGCCCTACGCATAGATGCTAAGACTCCATTATATTCTGAGTTATAAAATGAGGAAAATGTATAAGATAATTACCCGACTAATGCGTGATACTGAGGAAAAACTCAACGCTGCTGGATAACGTTTATCCCTGTAACACGGTCGCAATTTAAGTGTTCCTAGTTATCAGTACACATCAGGGACGATTAACCTAGAAAAGGTTAAAAATTTAGTCTCCTGCTCTCTGGTTAAAAACACAACAATGACTGAAACAGCGTTGCCAAAGTAGCTGAAATCCACTTCGGGGAAATTAGTAACCTTGCTTGAAATAAAATCGGCTGCCGTTTTTTTTGTGCTTTTGTCCCTCTAAATATGAAAATATTGCCCAAAAATTTAGTTCTTCTCCCGGTAAATGGTTTCTATAAACATCAATGAATGTTTTTTATTCCAAGTAAAAGTTACATGGTTGAAATTAGAGTAGTTGAAATGCAAAGACATTGAATCACGTGATTCAGTGTCTTTGTTTGAGATCTTCAACGTTGTAGTTCTCCTTTTTAGTTCTCCTTCTCCTCTGCTGCTGGTGGCGCCTAATTTAAATTTTGCAGCACACTAGCTTCAGACTGTCTGTCACTTCAAAATCCTTCCAAACCAACGGAAAGAGAGGTGAGGTAATATACTTAATAACTAAATACATATAACCACCTTTAGCGGAAAATTTTGATAGTTTGTATTGTGTGATGGTCTCAAGAAACGAAAGAAAGTACCTTGACCTCTACTTTTCAAAGGGTTTTGATTGGTCAGGTTTTGCTTAACTCTATCTCCAGTTGATGATGATTTTTTGAAATTTTTCATGAACTTTTTTGTTTTTTCACGAAATTTTTTGTGAAGAGGCGAATTTCGTACTCCTGCAAAAATTTCTTGCCTTTCTCCATTGTTAAAAAAATAAAAAAACAAGTAGCAAAAGCTACCTGCTGAGGGGGCGCCGCCCCCCCAGACCCCCCCTTTCAAATTATATATGTGAGACTTTGAGTATCATAGAAGTCGTGCGGCGACATGCCGAATGAAATGCCACAGTTAAAATTATTGGATCAGATGATGAGCTGATAAAAGCCTTACCCAGTAATTTGGGAACATTTCTGACACAGTTTGGTTGCTTTAACTATCACTTTGATTTGCGAAATACAAATCGTTTTCACTTCGTATGTAGTTAAATTTGATTTTGACTGACTTAGTTTCTGATGGACTCAAATTCATAATATACATTTAGGTTCCAGGGAAAGAAAAATGCAGATGAGCTACACTTCACATGAATATAGATTGATTAAAAATAAATAATCCGAAGAAGTGATGGAATAATTGA